ATGATCTACCTTTTCCACTTGAACTATGAGCTTCTCAGGCAGAGAACAGAAATCTTTCTAAATTATGATTGTGTCCACATAGGGTCTTCCACATCTGTTATTGTATACATATAATAGATATTTTGGAAATATGAATATTGTGAATATATAAACCAGTGTTTCCACATGGAAATAATCTTTACTAGCACGAATTGTATAGGTTTTTTTTTTTTAAATTTCATATCAACCCTGCTACTACATTTGCTTTAACCGGGAAAAAGGATTGATTTCAAAAGAAACATTCCTTTCTAAAAGTTCAAATTTCAAATATAGTTTACATTGTATGCTTTTTTCTGTGTTAAAGCCTGCAAAAATACAGAACACATTAACAGCGGCTCTGTTGATACTCAGGACCATCTTGGCCTTGCCTGTTACAATGATCTTATGCTCTGAGAAGAAGGGGGGCTGAGTGAAGGGAGGAAGAAGAATTTGGTAAGAAAGGCACAGTCATCAGGACTCACTTTGTCATGCAAAGTAAATAATATATAACTTGTTTGTGTGAGTAGATGGTTTCTGGATGGTTTAAGAACCTTAGAGAGAGACTCCTTAACAGCATCTTGCAAGAAAAATAAAAGAAGCTCACTGGGAGATGTAAATCTTCAACACTATTCTATGAACTACTTAGGCCAATTATAGACAGTGTTTGAAAGACCACTTCCTCCCTTAAACTGAACATCCCAAACTTAAATTTTATCTTGCACAAAGTATATGGTACACTGGTCTAGAAACTGCTGGTGACTCTTGTAGACTTACCTCTGTCGATGTTTCCCCACCCTGCCCCTGGCCTGCCCCCTTTTGCTGGTACTGGGGTTTGAACTTGGAACTTGTGGTGTTATATTGCTTGAGTAATGCCCCATACAAGATTTTTGCTAGTTATTTTGGAGATGGAATCTTACTGACATTTCTGCCAAGGCTGGCTTTGAACCATGATCCTTCTGATCTCAACTTTATAGCTAGGATTAGATGTGTGAGCCACTGGTACCAGGCTTTATCTGCCTTTTGGTGTGTGTGTGTGTGTGTAGTGCATTCATATACTCCACAGATTGACCTCAGGTTTTTCCATTAGATACAATGCTTGCCTAAGCATTCTATCACTTGAGCCATGTCCTAATCCCTTTTGCTTTTTGTTTTTTGTTTTTGTTTTGTTTTCAGATACTGTGTTAACTTTTTGTTGGAACTCACCTTTGAAACATGACTCTACTCTCTCTGTCTCCTGAGTGTGTTGGATAGTAGACATGTCCCACCATGCTTGGCCTGATATATGTGTTTTTTAAATGATATAAAGATTCACTCCACTGGTTAATTGGTTTGTCAGTAGTTAAGAAACAGAGACTGTCTCAATTTTGTGAACTGCTATTTCAAGTTTATGGAGAGAGTTACACTTGTCACTTTCCTACAAACTCTGGACAGAGCCTCATTATCTAGGGGCATTGATATTCACATACCCCTTGGTCTCTAATGGAGTTATGTCCTGATAAACACCAAGTTCTTTGTGCAGCCTAAACTATTGTTAAGTTGAAATACATTTAGTAGGCCTAATCTATTGACCATTATATATTATAGCAGTGTAGTACAACATGGAGTCTTTGTTGTTACTCTCATGATCACGTGTTTGACTGAGCATAGCACCAAGACAGATTAGCATAGCATTTATTCTAACTCAAACTCAAAATCCCAAGTATGGGATTGATGCATTGTGACTTTCATATCTTTAGGAAGTAGCACTATTGTTAATTGGGGACCAATTAATGTGTACATTGGCATAGTGTAAGGCAGGAAAAGAGAAGAGAGGAGAAGAGAAGAGAGCAGCACAGGAGAAAAGAGAAGAGGACAGGAGTAGCTTATAAGAACAAAAAATGACTTCAAGAAATACATCTCATGGATTTCTTTAACGTTAAGTATGAACACTGGCATTTCATTTCTTTCTATGATTTTCTAAAATAGACAACTAATAAACTCACTTTCCTTGATTCTTATGATTACACAAAAAGTGACCAGTGTAGTCGGTCAATCATATTGTCTGTATTCATGATGTACTAGCTACTATACTAGGCATCACACGGCACATCACAAAGCAGAAAGTTTCTGCTCTCTGTGAGTAGACAATCTGGCAGGACCTTGATATGTTTAAACATTTGTGGAACAGGCATGACAATAGGAGAGGGAAGAGCCCATCAACTGATGAGATGACTATTACTAGAAGAAGGCTCGGGGACTGATGCTTGAATGTCTTTCCAAAAAGACAAAGAGGAAGTGGGGCTGTGGTGAGCAAAATAATTCTGGGGATAGGTATGCATCTTAGAAGCAAAGACATGGGAAGGAAATTTAAGCAGCCTAGAACAGCAGCATGGAGTGAAAGAGGTGAAAGGGAGAGAAAAGGAAGATTGAGGGAAAGAAAGAAAGTTGGAAATGAGGATGAAAAGTTGTAAATGCCCTGCAAAAGAACACAAATTTAATTAAAAACTGGGAGCGATGGGCAAAATTTGTATTTCAAAGATGAATGGTAAAGATATGCAGGGTGAATTGAAGAGAGGAGACAGATGTCTGGGTGTGAACCCAGGGAATTTTGAATAATCAGGGTGGTTAAAAATGGGAAATAGCAGATTTTGAAAGTAGACTTGATGGGACCTTGTCACAATGGATGGTATAAAACACCTGTTCAGAAATATCTGAATGGTAAGTGGGATTTTTTTCCCCCGCTTGTGGAAATGACAGAAGGCAGGCTTGGGAGCAGGTTGACATGGTATCCAATCCATGTAATTATTGGTAGGCTAATGACCTCTTAAAGACTCATACTTCTCACCTTCAAAAGGCAAATCTACTACTCTCCTCGCATAGGATCATTGTGAGTCTGAAGTGAGTTATGAATATAAAGGGCTGAGAAAACACACAGCAAGCTCAAGCATATAACACATACATACATAACCTTATTTGCCACTTTCTAAAACAATATAAAAATTATCAAATAAGTGTAATAGCCACATGGGTTGTTTTAAAATAATACATCTTAGGACTCCCCCCACCCCAAATGATTCTGAATGCACTTATAGTTTCAATGCAAGTATTCTTAAGTAGGTATTCACCAAGGAATACAAGGCCAAGAGAACACGCCTTCATTTATTCAACATAAATCCACCATATGCATGGTTTTAGGCATGCATGGGACATGAACACTTTAGTTGAACCTGATGTCCTGGAGGTAAAAAATAATTGGAAAACAAAAACCAGACTCCAATAAAATAATCATGTCTAGTCATGCACTGTTAATAAATCAAGTATCAAATTTTGGGGCACAAACTAGGTAAGAGTTAGCAATACAAGACAGAATTGGTTTTTCAGATAATAAGGATCATTTAACAATAGCTTTTGTAGTCTATCTGCAGAGGTAAACGTTGTTTATGACGTCAGCAACTCAAAAATTCAAGCATACCCTCATACAGACATGTTACATGTAATAGCAAAATATTTCTTTTACAAATTCCCTAAAATGTTTTCCTGACATAATTATTTCTTTTGGATTTAATCTACATATGATTTATTCTTTGTTATGATTCAAGAGCTTATTTCATTTAATATAAGCAAATGAAGGCAGTACTCCATAAACGAAACATATTTCTTAGCAGAGTTAATGGTGACTGTTTTCTTTGGGACATCTATAAAAGGAATTGCTTGGCCCAGATCACAGAAGCATGTTCTGCTTAGTTTACTTAAGAACGATTTGGGGGGTATGTTAAGTTTTCATGTCTGATATAAAAACATATGTCAAATGTGTTTATATGTTTTTGAAAAATGTAAAACAAAGCTTAAAATGATCCACTGTATGCATCTGGATGATAAGTGTTTTAAGACATTTTACAAAGAACACTGGTTCCCAAATGTCATAAACAAATGTAAATAGAACAGAATGGAAAAGGTATATCCTTGTTAAAATCTGTAAGTGATCAGATTATGAAGCATACATTTATAAAATACGGCATAAGCAGTAGGAAAAAAGAAAACATTTTCCAAAAGTACGACACTCCAGAAGTTTATGCCTTTAAATTAACCTTAAAATGCTTTATATGTGAGAGCTCAAATGATATTTCTATTTCTTAAAAAAACCCAAAAAATTCATGTTAGAAAAACATCAACCAGACCAAATAATGCTTTAGAATTAATTCTAGAAGTTTTCTGACGGGACACTAAAGTTTTTAACTTTTAAAATTCTTTTCTCATTGGGCAGAGCTTCAGACAACACGAAGGAAAAGTTTGACTTTGATATTAAAGTTTTTTGTTTTTTAAAGAGTTACTCCTCTGTGGTACTTGCTCTCCGGTAAACAATCTAAAGTTTTCTCTGTAGTTTGAATTATAGGTAACGATTCTTCAGCCAAGTTCTCAGCTTTGGAAAATATTTATTCCAAATGCCTAGAAACCCAGGAATACACATTAGTAATATTTTCCCCGTCTGAAGTGATATGGGCTGTGCCAACTTGGCCAACTCAGGTTGCATCCTCAGAACAGCCTGGTGCTCGACTTTTCACCCAGACCAGAACCTCGCAGTAGTCGGGCCTTCACCCCTCCCACGGGGCACCCCCTCTTTTTGTTCCCAGAAGAAGATGGGGTGCTGGGGGTGCCCAGGTACCCCGACCTTTCCAGCTTCTTGGAACCCAGGGAAATCGCACTGTCAGTTGACTTCTCAGAAAGTTGCCAGGGACCAAGAGTGGGCAGGACTTTGGGACTGACTTAGTGACACATCAGAACTGGCGTTGCATTCTTCAAACCTCAACTTACCGGGTGGTTGCTGCCCAGCTGGGAGCCAGCAGCCCGGGACCCGCCGGTGAACCGTCCCGCCCCTCCCCGCCCGGGGTCCGCCCTCCTCCCCTTCCCCGGCGCACTCTGCCATCCAGAGGCGCTCGCTGCGCCTTCCCGGGGACCCCACAATCCGGCGCTTGCACAAGCAGTTAAGAATGGAGAACACCTACCCTGGTGATGACCAAAGGCTGGTTGAAGTCTATGCCCCCCGAGAGTCTGAAGCCCCAGGGCGCAGGGCCCGGGAGGACCACGTTCTGGGGCATGGTGCCTTTTGTGGGGCGACCTTCCACAGGTGGGGGCGCAGCGAGGGGAAGCGCAGCACACCGTCGGGGTCCCCGACGGGACAGCCCCTCCGCCGCACCGCGTCCTGGCGCTGGGGGCCGGCCCGCCAGCTTTATTCCCGCGGCGGAGGACGTCACCGCCCCGCCCCGCCCCGCGCCGCCCGCCCAGGAGAGCTCCAACTTTGGAAGTGGGAGAGGCGCCGGCCCCCGGGAGCAGCCACCCCGGGCCGCGCAGGGGGAGGCTTCGGGTTACAGCCTCCATCATCCCCTTCAAGTTACACCTGTCCTGTGTATCGTCTTCCCCCATCTCGGCAGAGCACTTTGCTGGAAGTGGAAAAGCCATCAAGCCATACAGGTTGCACGCGTTCCGTGGCGCACCGCGTGTGGTTAGGATCTGGGTTTGAGTGTGCTGATCTTCACTCACTGGCTGTGAGGCTTGGGTGAAGTCACTGAAAGTCCTGACAACTTCGCTTCCTCCTCCGTGCAAATCGGAGTGATCGTTGTATTTGTTGCATAGGATCCTGCGAGAGTTATGTGAGAATTAAATGAGCTACATCTGCAGACTATCTGGCACAAGAAAGGTGCTCAACAAACAGCAAGACTTTCTGCCGTTAGAATATATGTGTAGGGGCTGGGAAGGTGGCTCAGTGATAGAGTGCTTGCCTTGCATGCATGAGGCCCTGGGTTCGATTCCTCAGCACCACATAAGCAGAAAAAGCCGGAAGTGGCACTGTAGCTCAAGTGGTAGAGTGCTAGCCTTGAACTGAAGACCTGAGGGACAGTGCCCAGGCCCAGAGTTCAGGCTCCACGACTGACAAACGAAACGAATGTGTGTGTGTGTGTGTGTGTGTGTGTGTATGTGTGTGTGTATGTAAGTCCAGCACTGGTAGCTCACGCCTGTAATCCTAGCTACTCAGGAGGCTGAGATCTGAGGATCACCCTCAAAGCCTGCCTGGGTAGAAAAGTCTGTGAGACCCATGTCGCCAATAAACTACTCAGAAAAAGCTGGAAGTAGTGCTGTGGCTCAAGTGGTAGAGTGCTGTCCTAGAACAAAAGAAGCTCTGAGTTCAAGCCCCAGGACTAGCAAAAATAAATATATAAATATAAAAAATAAAAAATGTATGTACATGTGCATACATATTTGTAGGAATCTATGATTTACATTTATATTTGTGTACTTATAAATAAATTCAAGTGAGTGCATGTGTGTGTGTGTGTGTGTGTACTGCTCTTGCTTGGTTTTTTCACTCAAGGCTGGCACTCTACCACTTAAGTCACACGTTCATTTCGGACGTTTTGCTGGTTAGTTGGTGGCAAGAATATCAGAGACTTAAAAAAATTTTTTTTTTAATCCTGGGCTGGTTTCAAACTGGAACCCTCAGATTTCAGCCATGAGTAGGTAACATTACAGGCATGAGCCAGCAGCAAGCACAGCGATGTATTAAAGATATAAATTTAAATCGTTTTGAGTTAAGCAAGTGTCACCTTCCTCACATTGGTTACCTGTGGGAGGTGGGGCAACAGCGGCCTAGGAGCTGAAGCTGCTCTGTGTGGAAGCTGCAGCCACAGTGAGCATGCCCAAAAAGTGTGAATGAAAAGGGCTCACAGGCCCCTGGCACAGGAGAAAACCCCTGGGAGAAGGGAAGGGTGCCTGGTGGGCCACCGGACTGCCTCACACACGTGGTCATAGTTCATCCTCAGGAGCCATTCAGATTGCTGCTATGATTAGGAGTAAAGGTCAAGAGACTCTCTGGGTAGTGTCCTTGCGCCCTCTCATGTGCAATCAAGTATTTCTGGTGCGATGAGTCAGGATGCTTTGATTCCCAAGGAGGGGGTAAGGATGAGAGACATGCTTTGAAAACCCAGGAATGAAAGTTCAGAATTCATGCTCAATAGAACAGAGCCATCTTGGACCAGGGGAGAGCTGCAACACACTCTCAATAGAGCAGGCTGTTTGGATGCATTTTAAAGTCTGAAAGAGGAAGGAGAAAGGGGATTCAGGAAGCTGTAAACAAAGTGGTCCAGTCTGGGAAACTGTAAATCAGTGAACCAAGATGGATCTGCTATGATTGTAAGAGTATTGGGAGATTCCTGAGGTGTTTTTTGAGCTCCAGTCAATTTCCAGTGTGGAGAATTGTATTCTTTTAATTTTGCCTGGTTGCACTGGCTATATAATTGCAAAACAGATTTCCTTTGTCAATCCTTGTCTGGCTATGTCTGTCTGGTACACACACACACACACACACACACACACACATCCATTCAGGAAAAAAATAGACAAGTTATTTGATATTCCATAATTGTCATCTCAATTGTTATAAAATGAACAAAACTGGTTCTCTAGTTGGTTAAATGATTCTCTTTTTTTTCATCGGTTTGCTGGGTATTTTAGCATTTAGATTTAGGCAAAATCTATACAACCTCAATATATTTCAATATACTTGGTGGGTTCTTTAGGGTTACAGAGATTAAAAAAAGTCAGGGATATAAAATGAGTGGTTTTCCTACACCCTAAATTCAGGGAGCTCAGTGGGAGGGTTCTCAGAGGTAACTGTCAAGGAGGGAGTGAGAGGAGGTGTTTTCCAGGGATTGCCCATGGTACAGACATTGGCTGAATCCTGTGGACTCCCGAGAGTCTTGCTTTGGTTTGGGTACTGGTCTAAGAAGAATTTTTTCTTTACTGTATGGTTCTTTCATTTCTTTTCTTTCTCTTCTCCCCCCCCCATTTGCCTCTTTTTGGTGGTATTGGGGTTTTTACTCAGGCCTTGAGCTTGATAGGTAGGTACTCTACAAATTGCTCTACACCCTAATCTTACCTTTTAGGTATTTTTCAGGTATTGTCTTCTGATTTTGCTCAGGACTGGTCTAACATTATGATCCTCCTATCTCCACTTACCATGTAGCTAGGTTACAGATATACTCCCTGCCTCCTCATTTTTTGAGACATTGAGACTCCCAAAGATAAGTACTTGAGATGATGGATATGGATTTGACTATTTCACATTATAAACATATACTATGACATCATATGGAACTCTTTAAAATGAATGAATATTACGTGTTATTTATAAGTAATTTAGGAAATGTTAAAAATGGGCAAAGAGTGACTGAAGTTAAGCAGGTAAATTAAGTCCCAAATATCTAGAACTGTGCCTAGCACATACAAATACCTAGAATCACATGCTGTTATTTTCATTAGTGCTAGTAGTGATTGCATATACAAATTGGACATACTAATTTAGGCCAGAGCTTGAATATTTTGAAGTTATAGCAGAACCTGTGGCTATGGATATGAGATAGTTTAAAAGAAAATGGAAGCTACAAATTACTTTTTTTCTTTTCTGGTCCTGGGGCTTGAACTCAGGGCCCAGGCGCAGTCCCTGAGCCTCTTTGTGCTCAAGACTGGTGTTCTACCACTTGAGCCATGGTGCCACTTTGAGCTTTTTTTTTCTGAGTAGTTTATTGGAGATAAGAGTCTCTAGGACCTTCCTGCCTTGGCTGGCTTCAAACTGTGATCCTCAGATCTCAGCCTCCTGAGTAGCTAAGATTATAGGTGTGAGCCACAGGCTTGACTTTTTTTTTTTTAATCTCAAGAGATGACACCTATATCTTCTCCCCCTGAAATTGCACAGGTGTTTGACTCTTAAGTTACTAATAAAATGGTGTGGGAGTGAGATTGTGACTTCTGAGGGAAGGCCAGAAAAGATGATGAAGCATGCCTGAAGCTTCAGGTTGCCTTGCTATGGGGAAACCTAGGCTGCATGGAGAGTCACATGTTGGAAATACATGGTCATGGAATTCATGGAGTTGATAACTCCAGTCAAGGCATTAGATGTGAGGAAAGATTCCTCTTAGACAAGGATTCCTCCTCCTCCTCCTCTTCCTTCTCCTTCCTCCTTCTTCTCCTTCCTTTCCTTCCTCCTCCTCCCTTCCCCCTCCCCTCTCCCTCCCCTCTCCCTCCCCTCTGCTTCCTTTCCCTTTTCTCTCCTCCTCCCCCCCCTCCTCCTCCTCCTCCTCCTCCTCCTCTTACAAATTCCACTAATCCCACTATAGGAGCCCCCACTCTCATGGCCTCTTCTAAGCCTAATTACTTCCAAAAGGTTCATACTTCAGTATACTATCACATTGAGTTTTAGCATTTCAAAATGTGAACTTCAGAATACACACACATTCATCCCATCGAAGTTCTCCCTTCTAAGTCACCCCCAGTTTCTGCATCCTGTTTAGCTCAGGCCTCAGGCATTTCGAGATAAAGACAAGTCCTTCCCACTGTACCCTTGCCATATTCTTGGCCCACAACATCCCTGAGCATATTCAAGTGGTTAAGTCAAAGTTGAACAAAATAAATGCCAGGAAGCAGGTACTTGAAAAGGGGTGGGGCAGGGTCAAGGCAAAAGGGGTAGATGAATGAAGAAGAGAATTGGGGGAGAATGCAGTGAAGAATTCAATGTATATCCTACAAAATTAAGAAGAGTGAGTAGGGGAGGGGTGGATGAGAATGTTAAAAGGGGTGACATTGATCAAGATGCATTTTACTCATTAATTGCTTTGTTAAATAGAAACTCATTTGAACAGCTACTTAAACATAATAATTAAACAATTTTTTCAAGCCAGGTACCAGTGGCTCATATCTCTAATTCCAGTTACTCAGGAAGTTGAGATCTGAGAATCATGGTTCAAAACCAGCCTGGTCAGGAAAGTCCATGTGATTCTTTTTTTTGGGGGGGGACCCAGTCGTGGTGCCTGAACTCTGGGCTTGGGCGCTGTCCCTCAGCTCTTCACCTTAAGGCTAGTGCTCTAATACTTGAGCCACAGCACCACTTCCAGCTTTTTTCTTTTTGCTTATGTGGGGCTAAGGAATCGAACCCAGGGCCTCAAGCATGCAAGGCAAGTGCTCTACCACTGAGCCACCTTCCCAGCCATGTGATTCTTATCTCCAATTAACCTCCCAAAATCTAGAAGTGGAGTTGTAGCTCAAGTGGTAGAGGGCTAGTTTGAACAGAAACCTTAGAGACAGTGCCCAAGCCCTGAGATGAAGCCCTAGGATCCTCAAACATGTCAAAAACA